AATTTTGTTTGAACCACGACAATTTTATTTCGGTTTTTCCTTAACTAGCGATTTGTTGAAACAATTGTTTTTGAACTGAAAAATGAGGTTAAACCTTAGCAACACGAAACACTTGATCTTCTGACAGTAAAAAATTTTCTGTCTATAAATTTCAACATTTGCAAAAGTTCTGCTGATTCTGACAATATCAGCTAAATAATACACCACCTGCTATCTGTTGGTTAGGTCGAGAACAAGTTTCGTCTCTTCACCAAAGGCCGGATAGGTGGCGACTACGGCTCTCTTGACGACAAAATTGTGAAGCAAATTAAGGGCGAATGGGAAATTCTACCTGGCACCCACTGTCTCAGGCTGACGAAAATATCAGGAACAATTTACAATATAAGAAAATCAAAATGAAAATTTGAGTAGAGCTGCCTTCCGAATGGATTGTCGAACATTTTTTTCCGATGAAGAACAGTATATCGTGAAGCCCTTTTCTTATTATTGGTTTCTTACCGGCCCGGAACTTGGTTAAGTGGCGTCCAACTTCCATTTGGAGAAATGCCGAAGAAGGGAAGAATGGTCGATTGATTTTTTTTCGATAAAGCACCAAGGAAGAACAGTTTTTCTCTTTTCTTATTCATTTTATTGTACAATTTTACAATGTCCAACGCATAGAGAAAACAATCTTATTCCCACATTAACTAAAATTAATTAAGGTTTTTAGTTGAGATAAAAAAAGTCAGTGTCACGAGCGGGATTCGAACCCACGGTCTTCGGCTAGATACGCCCCTGCTCTACCACTTGAGCTATCGTGACCTCGATGGCTCGATCCACTCAGACCCTAACTTCCCATCTCAACCCCACCTTTTAGTTAGTGTCCGAGTGGATCGAGGTCACGATAGCTCAAGTGGTAGAGCAGCGGCGTATCAAGCCGAAGGTCGTGGGTTCGAATCTCGCTCGTGACACTGACTTTTTTATCTCAACTTAAAACCTTAATTAATTGATAGATATAATTGGGCAAGCGGACCACTAAAACTAGTGAAATTAACTAAAATTACTTCTTTCAATGAATTAATATTTTTATGTAAGGTCTTGGCTGAAATGAAGTTAGTGCCGCGAGCGAGATTCGAACTTAGCTCGTTGAAGCCGAAGAATGTGGGTTCGAATCCCGCTCATGGCACTAGCTTTTTCGTTTCAACCAAGACCTTACATAAAAATAATAATTCATTGAACGAAGTAATTTGGTCCATCAGACACTAAACAAAATGGATTTAACTAAAACAGACGTTCATTTGAAATATGTAATTCTGGTATCCCAAAATCAAACATAGGTATTATATAAAAGAGGATCCCTATAAGGCCAGCATGTCCCAACCTCCGTTCTTAATCACCGCCATCCTGACGCTAAAAATGCAATAAAAAAACAGCAGCTCAGTTGGCACAGATTGGGTTGAGAGAAAATTCGTACCTTCAGTTACCGGAGGTTTCGATATCGCAAATAGAAATGTATAGTTAGTGACCGTTAATTAATGTTTTTTAGAGATGTGTGGTGTTTAGTGACCGTTAGCCAATGATTATTTGGAGATCGTGAGGTGCGGTCTGGTGTGACGTAGGTTTTAGAAAAACATTTTCTTTATCATGCCAACGTTTCGGTCTTTATTGAGATCATCTTCAGCGCGATTGTGTGATGTGATGATGATGATATATGTATGTTATCGATATTGAATTTGATTAATGATATTGGCGTAGCTGCGGCTGAGTTTACATGTGTCTGTTCTGTAATTGATGCTATGTTTATCCCTGTTGATGTAAACGATTTCTAAAAAGTTACGTTTATGTTTGTTTTGTTCTGTGTGTAATATCTTTGGATTGTTAAAGTCGAAATTGTGTTGGTTTTCAAAATGGTGGCAACATTACATCGACAGGATTTTTTTCCCTACATATATTTGTAAAATTTAAACAATGTTTATAAATACCAGGCCCTGAAGATGGTCTCAATAAAGATCGAAACGTTGGCACGACAAAGAAAATGTTATTCTAAACCTACAGCACACCAGACCGTATCTCCCGATCTCTGAATAATTAGTTTAACATTTAAAGAAAGATATGATATATTGAATAACCAAATAAACTAATACAATCTTTACATGATAAAGTACAAACACAATATGTAAATAATTTAAAACTCTTAATAATTAATAGGACAAATATGACTACTAAACACAAATACTTACATGGTTTATTATAAATGATCTTAGATTAAAACTATAATTAATTAAAAATTTTATGTTTTAGAACGTTTGAACCAATGGGATGTATAACAAATAAATTTTATTATAAAAGAACTATATACTTTTATCAAGTCTGATTCCCTTTTCTTCTATTGCCTGGGATTTCCAAACCGGCCTCTTTGCCACAAGGTTTCCAATATTTTAATTTTTTTTTTTTGTGTGTCTTGCGATACAATCCCTTTCACCCTTCTTACCTTTATTGAACGCCAGATCCCGTATTTGTATTATACTGCCTAGGATTATGAGACAATGCTATGCGGCCGCTTTGGTACAAAGGGTACCTACATTTACAATAACATTAAAATGTTTGAACTAATGCCATTTGTAAGAAAATACTTTCTATTATAAAAGAATCACATACTTTTACGATGGCCGATTTCCTCTTCTTACATTGCCTGGGATTTCCTAGCCGGCCTCTTTGCCACAAAGGTTGCCGACATTTCTAATTCCAATTACTTCTTTTAGACCAACGGTTTAAACTATAAAATAGAGAGGATTCACCCAATAATTATGGCATCATAATTTTTTAGGAAGAAACATGGAAAATTTGAGGAAATACACCAAAGAGTATTTGGACCAAATACTAGTTTTCTTTTGTTCTGCCGGAAGGTATAAGTTTAGAATAATTATTCGGAAATCGTGAAATGCGGTCTGGTGTGACGTAGGTTTCAGAAAAACATTTTCTTTATCGTGGCAATGTTTCGATCTTTATTGAGGTCATCTTCAGGGACTGGGATTTACAAACATTGTTTAAATTTAATAAATACATATAGGATGTAATATAATGCTTTATATTTCAGGCTTTATTATGGATAAGGTGCTGAAACTTACTGCTGCAGAATAGCACGGTTTACATAAATGTGTAGGTTAAGTGACCGTTAATCGATATTTATTTAGAAATCGTGAGATGCGGTCTGGTGTGATGTAGGTTTAGAATAACATTTTTTTTGTCGTGCCAACGTTTCGATCTTTATTGAGATCATCTTCAGAGCCTGAGTTTTATAAACATTGTTTAAATTATACAAATACATGTAAGGTGTGAAAATGAATTTCTATATTGTGTGCATCATTGTATAAATTCGTTTTCATACCTTACATATATTTGTATAATTTAAACAATGTTTATAAATCCCAGGCCCTGAAGATGATCTCAATAATGATCGAAACGTTGCCACGTTAAAGAAAATGTTTTGCTAAACCTACATCACACCAGAACGCATCTCTCGATCTTTATCATCGCAATAGAATTTCATATTAGCCAACAATGTAAATTATTGGTAAAAGTTTCACTCCTGGGCTGTATTCTTAAAAAATTCGATAATTCAAATTGTCCTTATCCCTCATGTTGATTATAAAATTATAATTATTAATTCCACCGGAGAGAACAACTGTATTGAATAAGAAAGTTGTAATGGAACATGATGAATTATTAATTATTAAGGCAGTTAAAAGTGGGTATAAATGTGATTGTTACGAAAGAACATTATAAAGAAAGTCCAACCTGTTAAATTATGAAATTTATTAAATTGTGGAAATTGTTACGTACTGCTAAAAGTTAATAATATGTTCTGACTGCATTATAAATTATTGGGGGAAAAAGCAAAAATTGATGATTAATAATTCTTTAGTTATTTTTTAATAGTTATGTATACTTGCAACAAACTTAAACTTTAACAAACTTAAAAGTCGGTGCTTTAATTTCCGAAAAACGAGGTAATATAGAACTTTGTTTTACTTATTTAATAATTTATTCTTAGGTCGTTTCTGTTCATTTTTCGTGTTTTTGTCTGTCAGACACGTTTCAGCTTCTCGCCATCTTCAGTAGTGTCACTTCATCATGTCTGAAGAACGCTAGTAAATTATTTTTTTTTTCTCTTTATATTTGTTACCTGCATTTATCAGTTCATACTAGTTAAGCCTGTTTAGTGCTTTTTAACTGGACGTATTAAGGGTCTTTATTATTCTTCTATTATATGTTAATAATTTTATCATTCTACATAGAATATTACAATTTTGCTGAACAAAACAAATTAATTTTTAAAAAAAGTATTCAAGGAACAATATATAATTCACATGCAATATGATTTTATGCACAATATTATAACTGTACTGTCTTCAAAAATGTAAAATGCATAAAAATATTTAGTGTGATCGATTCCAAAAATTACGGTCCGTCTATCCTCGCTGTTTAGTCTGTCAGTGGCGTTTAGGCTTCTCGCCGTTCAATACAAAAATGGTAAAATGTGTAATACATTTAATATTTAGCTTTTGATCAGATTTAATAATTAAAAAAATAAGAACCAACCTCTGAAGATGGCGAGTTGCCGAAACTGAACCGACAAACCAAAACAGCAAGGTTTTTTAAAATTCAATTAATTATTCATTTTTATCTAAGGTCTTCATTGGGATGAAAAAGAGAGGGATTGGAATGATTCTCACGATATATCTCAAGTGGTTAGCCAGCGACGTATTGTGCCGAAGGTCGTGGGTTCGAATCCTGCTCGTGACATTAACTTTTTTATCTCAATGAAGACCTTAGATAAAAAAAGAATAATTAATCAAATAATTAATGGTCAATTGTGATCGCTAAACATATATGGGTTTTTAAAATTATTTTTATTTATTTAATTATTTATTGATGGACAGAGCACATCCTTCTACGGAGGTACTTTTAATGGTGTTTAGGGAAAATTTGTGCACCGTCCAAACGTTGGCCGACCTGACGGATAACCGCACCGCCTTTCTCTTATCTCCAGTCTGTCGTGTTGGGCAGTTTCGTAAACAAATAAATATTGTGGTTAGATAGTTCAGTCACAAAAATCATGGAATATTTCAAAAGCAGTTTAAAATCTGTACTCGGAGCCCAGGATCCGTCCCAACAGCCGACCGGTGCAGAAGTCGTAAGTCCGCCGTCATAGAACATCTCCGGCTGTCCATCTGGCAACAAACGCCTCAGGGTTCCTTTTTCAGGTGGATCGCCTGGTGGAGAGAGTGCAGTCGTGCACCCTTTTGGAAGACAGGCGAGGTGCGTGCCGCACCATAAAAGCTCTTTCGAAGAAGCACAGAGTCCACGTCGGTGCCCAGGGAATGCAAGCTCTCATCGGCGTTCTGCAAACCGACAAGGAGGACTGTGAAATCATTGGCTACGCCCTGGACACTCTCTGCAACATCATGTCACCAACAGTATTTGAAGAAGAAGGTGACTTTTTTTTTGTTCAACACTTCAAAAGCTCAAGTAGTTTGAAGTTTCCAACTTGATGGTGCTGAGTCACAAACTGACAAGACACATCCTGAAAAAATGTTTATGTGAGTGCAGATTAGGTTAAAGAGCCTTCTACACCACATCCATCAAGTAGGTCTATCGTTCTCCAACTTATACTTGTACAGTCAACTCTTGTTAATTCGAAACTTGATAATTCGAATTTCTTCATGATACAAACTCCTCAGCAAGACTCTTCAGTACAGTTTTTTGATACACTCAATAATACGAAATATTTTTCATAACAGGGAGAGAAAAGCATGCTATTAATCGAAATGGAGCTATGTTATACTTACTTATGTACTATGTTTATAATTTGCACTTTTTCTTTGCTATATCCTTTTAAATGTCCACTTATTGTTTACTTCCATACAGCCTAAGGTTCCTTCGAACTTTCTCTTGTTTGTTATGTTCTGCAGTCAGTGTAGTCATTGTGTTCTCAGCAGTGGTCACTTCAGACAATCAAGTAGGACACCAGGTAGTATTTTTTTTGAAACCGTGGTATCACAGAAGCATTACTTCCTGTGGCACAGTGCGTTGGATACCTACATCCATATAGGTTGTACGGTAGGTAACCAATAAAATTGAAGACAAGTTTATTCCTTTTATTTTAGTTGCGTTGTTTCCAACCTAATCTTTATTTAACGTCATGCCTAAATATTTTACTGAACTCAGGAACTTTATTGTTGAAGGTTTATCTACTAATTTTTATTATGTGAAGTTAACATGTACAGATTTATTGTCGCTTAGTTTAAACTTCTAAGTTCCAGTCCATTGATACTAACAAAAATTGATTATTTTTTAAATGAAGTTTTTTTTTTTCACTTACTGTTGATTTTATGGCGTATACATATAAAAACAGTAAAGCACCAGATGATAGTGTTCATGAAGTGAATAACATAATATTTCATTTGATAGATAGGCAAATGCCTTCCTACCGTTGTACAGTTTGGTACATGAAATCCCTAATAATTACTTTTTAAAAAATTATCCAAAGACTTGTAAATAAAGAAGGTTTTTCTAGAATTATTCCAATTAATTATTCTTTTAATCTAAGGCTTTTTTGGTTGAGATGAAAAATTAGTGTCACGAGCAGAATTCAAACCCTCGACCTTCGGCTGAATGCACTGTTCCTTTAACCACTTGAGCTATTGTGACTTTGATCCCCTCGGAACTAACCACCCATCTCAACCTACAACCATTCAAATTTTCCCTCTCTTTGTCATATTTTCAAATTTTTTAATTTTTTATCTCAACCAAAAACCACCAATAAAAAGAATAATTAATTGAAATAATTATTTATGGTCAATTATGACCATTCAGCAAAATACAGATTAATTTAACAATTAAAAATAAGTAATTACTTCACTAACAGCTCCCTGTGGCAACTTCATAAGTCACTGAGAATTGAATCCTGATTACTCGACATTTGAAAATAGGGCAAAAAAGAGGGTAAATTCGAACGGTTGTAGGTTCAGATGGGGAGTTGGTGTCCGAGGAGATCTAAGTCACAATAGCTCAAGTGGTTGGAGCAGCGGTGTATTGAGCCAAAGTTGTGGGTTCGAATCCTGCTTGTGACACTAATGTTTCATCTCAAGGAAAAAAAAAATTAGATAAAAAAATTATTATTTGGAATAATTAAGTTATAACTGCAAAAAATGCATTTAAAATTTTAACCATTTTTTCTTTCTTTATGATACTTTGAACGTCTTGATTCTTCTTAAGTCCTTCTGAAACTCCTGTGGTTTCTAAAGTAGGGCAATAAAAATTAAAATTGATAGTTACCTATCATCTTGGTCTGCTTATCCTCCATCTTCCATGCTTACTGGGGGTTGTTTCTTGAGAAATCACCCAGACACTGAAGATGGCCAAATGCTGAAACGCCTCTGACTTACAAATCTCACCAAAGCGATAGATAACTTTCAAACTGTAGGTTTATCCAAGCCATTGATTTTACTTAAATTTATTGCAGGGGACCCATTTTTAATCACCAATTATGATTATATCTTTTTTAGATTATATATTTAAAAAAAATTGTTTTGAAGCAGAATTAAAGGAACAAGCTTTTTGGCATCAGTTAACCTGGTATCCATTTATCCAGCTTTTTTACATGTTTATGATTTAATTGCAAAATGGAAGGACAAAAAGAATTGTCAGCTGCCTTACAGATTTCATCCGTCTGCTGTTATTCCAACAGTTTTATAAAACAAACCGATTAATATGACTAGGACAAATGCAAATTCGCATTAAACATTTTTACAGTGTTTACAAAACTTTGCACAAAAAATTTATTAAACACATCTAATAATAACAGCAAGAATTTATTGCGTTATAAAAAGTACATCTACCTTCTTTGAATAAGTAAAGAAAATTTTTATATACTAGTTTAATAGGGGGTAAGACCAACACTGAGTAATAGGAATTACTTTTATTCTACTTTAACGATTTTCACTATTCTGAATTTAAAAATAATAATAAATGTAGGGTTTATATGTATTTGCATTATTTTTGCTTCTGTTGTAAATGCCATTACACTATTAGTTGTAAACTATTGACTTATTATTTAACTGAATACTTCATATAATCATATTAAATTTGTTTGGAATACATCATACAAATAAATATTGGGGTAGAATAAGTTTGTATTTGTCACCATGCAAGAATTAAATGTCCTAATCAATCTAGGTAGTTTTGATCTTCTTGGAATAGACGATAACGCAGAGAACATGTGGAGCCCCAGCTCGTATTTCAAATCAGGCTTCACAGCCCGGTGGGATTCAGTTATTTGGGCTAAGAAATCAGGTGATGTATGATCATCACAAACTGTGTTTATTTTCTCATATAATACCTCGGAGAATCTTCTAAAAGGGAGTGATAATATTTCAATTGGCGCAATCTGAAAGCATGACTAAAACTGTCAGTATTATAAATAAATATTCAATGATTGCTTTAGTTGGAAGTAATATGAACAAGCATTTTGCTTGTTAAAATTCCTTTTTTTTCTTTTTTATTATTTTTTATAATTTTTTTTTTTAAAGATTGGTAGAGACAGAATTAAGGTTTTTTAAAACTAAAGTTACCTGCTTTTCAAATATATAAATGATTAATAAATCTATGTGGGTATAATTATACTGTTTTTACCCTTAGACTATCGAGAAATTAAGCCTCATTATTGTTTTTATTACCGATAAATTGTGCATGTAAATGTAGCTGGAACAATTTTTTTTTTTAAATCTGAGATTGTAAGTTACATTCAGTAGTAGTAATTTATTATAAATAACAATTTTATTATGCAAGCCAAGGTGATAATTGTAAAACTAAAATATAAACATATCATAAACAGCTTTTTTCCACCCATTTAAAATTTATTAATTTCTATACCCATTTTAATTTTTACATACTGTATTGGGCATGTTATTTAATTTAATAGTTTAGCTGAGTTCTTTTCTTTGACAATTGTGTCCTGAAATTTTTATGAGTGGCTCTGGTAAACGAACAGACAGCAGAGGCTCATCACTTGAATTTGTTAGACATTTGATTAAATGGAATGTGAAAAACTTCGAAGAATATCATTTTTCTCTGCAGTTTCAAAATAAATAAGTCTGTCAAAAAAAAGATGTCGTTTATTTCCCTAAATAATGGCTACCTTAACTGAAAATGTTCAAAATACTTAACAAAACTTTATATGTCTGGTTTTAGCTTCTGCTGTTAACAACTTTATTATTTTTTTACAGAATGTTCAGAGGTAGATCAGGAGGCCTTACTTCATGTCGGAGAACAGTTTACAGAAATATTTCTCAAAGAGACATACAATGTTTTGTTAGTTTTGAATTTCCTTGAAGAATATGATTTTAAAGTTAGATGGCCTGCTCTGAAGCTTTTGACAATCCTTTTAAGAAACAGGTTCTCCAAAACTTTAACCGTGCAATATTCAATTTTCATTTGTAATTTTGTTTAAATATTTTAGGTTGAGAGATATTCAAGAAATTATACTAGTCAGCCCGATGGGCGTATCAAAACTTATGGATCTTCTAAGCGACAGTAGGGAAGTTATTAGGAATGATGTAAGAATTATTTAATATAACACATTTTCAGGAAGTAAATCATAACATTCTTTTTTTCAGACATTACTGTTGCTGTTTCAACTGACAAAAGCAAACGCCAACATACAGAAAATTGTTGCATTTGAAAACGCCTTCGACAGGTTGTTTGATGTAATCAATGAAGAGGGATGTGCAAGTGGAGGAATTGTAGTAGAGGATTGCCTGCTTGTAATGGTGAACTTACTTAAAAACAACACTTCAAATCAAAATTTCTTTAAAGAAGGTAAGTTCTATTTATGTTATTTTGATTACCAATTACAGATATATATAAGTTCAGTAATTTTTTTGCAATAATTTTTGTAAAAAACTCTAAGGGCTGGAATCGTACCCAGAACCACTAGAAAAGCTAGAAATAATGAATGTGGGATGAGTATGTACATTCACTTTTTCTAAATGATGGTTGTACTCACAGATTTAGGACTATCTTTTACAAAAAGTTATTTAAAAAAAAACCACTTTCGTGGCTAATACAAGAATTGGTTGCCAAATGTAAGATAAACAACTTGAGTCAAATACCAAATTATAAATAAAAATTGGTCCAACTAACTTTTAAAATTACTTGTGATGTAGAAGAGGTAAAAATCATTACTGATCAAAAATGTTAGACCTAACTGAAATTAAGGCTGTTAAATAAAAATCTTCCCATATTACTTATATTTTATTGTCGCTTCATAGAAAAGTGTATTTGGTATTTTAGGAAGTTACATTAAAAAACTCTGCCCCCTGTTTGAATTATCAACCGGAAATGAAGAAACTTGGCCACCGCAAAAAGTGGCAAATCTTCTCTGTGGCCTTCAGGTACTTGGATTGGGCATTTGCCTGTTTAAACAGTAATCCTCTGTTTTTTTAATCCGACATCTGTCTTTTGTTTGTTCTATAAGGTTATCAGATGTCTCATATCCCCTAGTAATTCTGCTCAGATTACAACGGCATGTCAAAATATTTTATACTCCAGTGGTATATTCAATGCTTTATCGTCAATCCTCATGTCACCAAGTGTGCATGTAAATTTCCTGACTGAAGCTATTTTCACCTTGAGCGAGATGATAAGAGGCAATGAACAAAATCAGCAACATTTTTCTACTATTATGGCACCTTCTACACCACCAAGGTATATCAACATTATTAAAATATTATGCATGGTATAATGATTTTTTTACATTTTAGAGAAGCGATCGTAGTTTTATTGACATCTATGGTTAATGAGAAACAGCAGCTGGGTTTACGATGTGCAGCATTGTATTGTTTTCAATGTTACCTTTTTAAAAATGAGGTTGGCCAAGCACAGCTTTTGCAAACTTTAATGCTAACATCACCAACAGATTGTATGACATAAACCCTGTCGTTTTTAACAATTTTGCTTATTGATTTAACTTTATTTATTTCAGTCAACAAAGTTACAAGTGGCCAGCTACTTTGTACTAGCATGTTTTCCCACGACTCTCTGTCAAGTTGGTTAAGTTCAGTCGGATTATCCTATGCGTTGATAGAAAATCCAGTTCAAAAGGAACAACTTTTACGTGTTCTCATAGCGCCGGATCCAAATTCCTCACCCGTGACTTTGATACATCAAGTTAGTGTTTTAATGCAACAAACAAACAAAGTTCAAGGGAAGCTTGGAATTCTAATATTGTTGGCAACTTGGCTCTCACATTGTCCTTTAGCTGTAAGACATTTTCTCGAGGTTCCTACTGTCATCCCTTATCTTACAGCCCAGGTATATTAAACTATAATTATATATTAATTTAAATAGATTTATAGACCAATAAATTTTTTTAGGCCTGTTCATCAGAAAGAGATGATAATGAAGAGTTAGTACAAGGGTTGTGTGCATTCCTTTTTGGCATTTGTATAATTTTTAATGATGGTTCCATTTCTGTGTACACAAAAGTAAATATTTATTTACATAACTATGTAATTTCTATTAAAGAAAACAAAATTTTAATTTAAGTAAATTTTTTAGGACTCATTGTTGCTTATTATAAACAATAGGATTGGAAAGGAACTTTTTATCGCGAAAATGGGTGAGGTTTCAAAGCACGAACATTACAGCAAAGCTGCCAAACAGCCTTTTCCCAGGGCGACGAGCCCCGACGAGCTTTTATTGGATTACGAATTCTGCAAACTGTTTAAAGTGCTTGAAAGCATGATTGTCAAAGCATTGATATCAGACAAATCCACCATAGACGTCAGTGGCGAAATCGCAGATTCGACGCTGGTCTCGGAGTACAAAAACCTTATCAGGGACCAAGACAGGAAAATCGCAGAGCTCGAGGCTCAGTGCGAGAACTTGCAAAAACAGAAAATGGATCTGCACTCGAATCTAGAACAGCTGACAGCCAATGTGGCAAGAATGTCAGATGAAAACACATTGCTAAGAGCTCAAGTAAATGCTTGTGGCCTTAATATAAATACAGATCTCAATCTACAGTTAGAAAGTTGGAAAAATGAATGCATGCGAAAAGATTCTACTATTCAGGATTTAGTAAATTACTTACTCTTTTTTTTTATTGTATATGTCCATGCGATTGAATATATAAATTATCTTTTCTTAGGAAATGAAATTGGGACAAATGCATTTACATCAACAACAACAGCAACAGCCTCAACATCCTACTCAAAATAATCTTCAATCAAAAGTAAGCAAAATTAAAATTCCTTCAAACATTATAAAACATGTAATTATATTAATTTTTATCTGCAGGTGGATGAACTCCAAGATGAGGTAGACCGTTTGATGAAAGATCAGGAAGACCTACTAGTCCTATTAGCCGATAAAGAAAAACTGTTGACCACTTACTCGGAAAAATTGAAATCACTCGGAATAAAAGTAATTTACATTAAGATTTTTTTTTAAATGTGTTTTTAATATCAACCTTATTTCAGGTTGAAGAAGAAAGTTGTGAAGCACCTGCTCAAATCATACATGACGTCAATAGTATGGCATAGCAATTTTTGTTCATTAACGAAAATTCGATTAAGGTGGTAAAAACCGTGACTGTACCGTGGGAATGTGAATAAGCGTTGAATGAACTTTTGAACTGAATTGAATACAGATTTTATTTACAAGTGTCAAAGTAGTCTCTAAAATACAACAGTATTTTATTTATTTGAATTAGATAACTTGTATAATCTATGTATATAACTATCGTATTGTTAGCTTTGTTGAATATTATATATTTTTTAATAAGATATCTTTTGATATTTATACTTTTATCAAAAAACAATGAATTCCGTCCTCCCTCACATACGATCCAAAATCCTAGATAATAATGGCAAATTTAAACGCATATTAGTTTTCTAAAATCTTACAATTTATTGAACAATATTTAAATTAATAAGCGCATAGCAGGTGAAATTAGCTCATAGAGGAAATCACTACTAGCGAGGAGTGAGTGAGTAAGTGCGCCTATTGGCTTCTTTATGCGAAGCCATATCACTGCATGGGTTAAAATTCTGCTCATTTTATTAAACCATGCCAGTACAACCAAGAAATTTTATTTATATGGTTGACGGAAGACAAAAAAAAAAAAAAACGCTTTGTCACACTCTACAACTATGCCCACGCATGACTAGATAGAAGTCTTTTTTTTTTTTTTTTTTTTTTAAATATTGTTACTACATTTATTTGTACTCCATTATGTCTAGTGGTCTAATTGACAAACTACTTCTTTCAATTAATTATTCTTCTTATGTGTCTTGGTTGAGACAAATGGCAAAAAAGAGGGAAAACACAAAAAGTTGTAGGTTGAGATGGGAAGTTAGTGTCCGAGTGGATCAGAGTCACGATAGCTCAAGTGGTTACAGCAACAGTGTATTGAGCCGAAGGTCGTGGGTACGAATCCAACTCGTGACACTAACTTTTTCATTTCAACCAAGACCTTGCATAAAAAAAAATAATTTATTTGTACTATCCAAATTACTAATTACTTTGCATTATCCATGTAAAGGGTTAACTACATAAATAAATGGAAGTATTTTATTTTATTTCATGTCATTTGTCTTTCACAAATAGACAAAGACAACTGGTCAGACAGTCAATTGACCATGAATAAGTCTATTAATTTTTTTAAATACTGTAATGGAGAAAGTAAAGACCATTGTTGTTAGAAGTAGAAAAGAAAACAATTTTTTTTATAAATAATTAAAACAAGGTGTTTTTTTATATTTTTTTTAATTGCTTCACGTTGGGTGATGGATGGAGGCGCCACTTGATGCTAGTTGACAGAAGCGGCCGAGGTTGCTATGGTGATATTCCACCTCCACCGGTTTATTGCTATTTTGAGGCGCTTGGGTGGTCTCTTTCAAACCTTCGAGATCGTGTGTGGTCCCAAGACAAGTTTTTTTGTATTTATTTGTTTTCTTTACTCGTTCAATCGTGTTAGACGGTCGGAGTGCCAGTCGTCAGGCGGTTGGATTCGTCCGGTTTCGCTTTCTACCGTCCAGGTCTAAGAAAGGTCTACCTGGGTTCTGTCGTAAAATGACCGTCCACGTGAGCACAGTCCTGCCTTTCGATACAACGGTACTCGTAAACTACGCGTTTTCATAATTCGAAGAGAGACAGAGTGAAAAATGACGCCGGCGTTGTTGATTTTTATTTTCTGCGTCGGTTTATCGTTTTGCGTCCAGGACAGGACGTCGTTCGCCGTCCAGGACAGGACGAAAGTCAACGGATCGCGTAAACTGAAAGAAACTTTGGATTTGCCCGAAAGGACGCTTTTTGGACTCAACAGGTTTCATCCGCCTCTCGTCGAGGGAAAAGTCAGCTACTGCACGAGACCTGCCAAATGCGAAGAGCTCAACTACACGACTTGCATGGGTGCCAAGCTGCCTTATACCAAGACCACGTTGGAACTGGTCGACGGCCTCTCTTCCCAGGAGCAAGCCCAGGTAAGCCCTTTATAAACCATTTCCATTCTAAATTACTACAATTTCTCATAAAAACCTCTCACCAGGAACAACTGGAAGAATGGAAGCGGCTCGTACAGCACATACCAAAATGTTGGCAGGTCATCCAGTCATTCCTCTGCTCGATATACATGCCGAAATGTGACAACGGAGAAGTCTTCTTGCCTTCCTTGGTTTGTAACTTTTAATGTTGTAATATTAAACTATTTAAATTGATTCGATACTCTGGTGTCAATATAGGCCAGATGCGTTAAAAAGAATGAGGTAGGCTGCGTTGGTTACGTGGTTAGTGCATGAGCCTCTCGGTTTATCAGACAATTTGATTCCTATCATGGCCCTATAATTTCTGATCCTATTTCTATCCATAAGCTCTATTAAATTAAATATTGTAAAAACATAAAGTCAGCTTTAAAAAATCCACCAATGTTGATGTTAAGACCAAAATGTGACTATCTGACAAAACCAGTGAAGATTGGCAGTTCAAAATTATTGGAAACGACTAAACTGCAGGTTCGTCATCCTGCAGAAACAATAGAACTTTTTGTTAATGTTGGTTCATACATATTTAAAATTGGGTCCATTTTTCCAGATAAGTGTTGAATGCTTAAATACCTTCCTTACATCTAAATTTTTGAGAACAGGAGTACCAAGCTAATTTTGGATCATTAGTTTTATTATTTATTTTAATTTTAATATTATGAATTTGGATTTATATAGGCTCACATGTGCATGTGTATGTATATACATACAAACATGTGCCGAGTTGAGCACATACGCTTCTCATAGTACACCAGCAATTCCAGCTTTTGTTATTTACAGTAAATTACTAGCAGAGTCTTATCCTCCAGTCACCGAGGTTGGGATGTGGGTGCTGTCAACAGCTAGGCCAATTCAGCACACAACGCAGGCAGTTCCATTCACACTCACACTCATTCTTAAATACATTCACTCCTATTTACATACCATTCATTCAATTAGGGTGGTAGTACTGGATATTCCTCCATCACCCTTTATATATATTATACAACTAACTAATTGAGAGGTGATGGGGTACTCAATATTCCGCCATCAACCCTCTTACATCACATATTCATATTAATACATACATTCACTCTCAACATGAACTAGGTATACACAACTATTATTACTATATGCAATAGTACAACCGATTTCCTCCAATTATTGGGACGGGGCCAAGCACAATTCTCAAATCGGGTGGCATTCCTGCACGCTCTCTGCATGGAGCCAAGGAATTGAACTCTTCAGTTAGGTGGGACACATTGAGCAACTTTTCTCTGCTGGACTGCTGGACACATACATCAATATTAAGGCTTTAAAAATCTAGTTGTGTTCTGGAGTATTTTTCTTGATGAACAATAAATGTTGTTTCAATTAATTAAGGTTTCTAGTCGAGATAAAAAGTCATTGTCATGAGCGGGATTCGAATCCACGATCTTTGGCTAAATACACCGCTGCTGTACCACTTGAGCTCACGATAGCTCAAGTGGCACTAAAAGCTCTCCATCACCTTTCATTTGTCGCCGAGAATCAAATAGATTACACGACATTTGAAAAATGGCAAAAAAGAGGGAAAATTCAAAAGGTGGGGTTGAGATGGGAAGTTAGTGTCCGAGTGGATCGAGGTCACGATAGCTCAAGTGGTAGAGCAGCGGCGTATGTAGCTGAAGATTGTGGGTTTGAATCCCGCTCATGACACTGACTTTTTTTATCTCAACTAAAAACCTTAATTAATTGAAAGATATTATTTGGTCAAGTGGATCACGAAACTAGTGAATTTAATAAATGTTGTTTTATCTTTTCCTTAAGATGTAAGAGTTCCACCTTAAGATTCATCTTTGATTTCTTCCATAAAGGTTGTCCAAAATAAAATTAAGAAAATAAATTATAAGATTTTCCTGGTTTTGGCCCTTCATCCTTATTTACTCCTTGGTCTTCCTTTGACAGTTAGGTGGAAAAAATAAAACACTATTTCCATTAAAAGTAAACAGTATGCCAAAAATTAATATACAATTTTTAAAATGTTTAAACTCTCAACATTTTATTGCTTTTCTTCGCTGAATAAGAAAGGATTTTTATATGTTAAACAATAGATTGTTTTCATATAGAGAAAACTTTTTTTTATTACAAGGTTAAGACCATCATAGAATACTAAAATACTTGTGGTGTTGTAACCCAGCTATTGAATTAACCTAGTTAACTGACTGTTAAAGTATATAGTTGTGAAAAGTTTCAGCGACCTTTGATGAAGCAATTTCTTGGTGAATGCATTGGGCCGGAGTTGAGATCCTTTTTATCCAGAAAGTTAAACAATTATTTACTTTTGTTTGAACTTTTGACCATCTATGGGTCATGTGAAGGAAAAGGTGATGTGGATTTAGCAAATAGAGTTAGAGGGTGTCATTCCACTAAATAAAATAATTTTTTCACATGATGGTTTCTAAGTTTATTTCTCGCATTTTCAGATGCTAACAGGAACAAAACAACAGCTAGATATTATTGATATAAATATTCAAAGTCAAGGTGACATTTTAAGGACACACCTTGTTAAACCATAAATATAAAACAAAATATAATATAAAAAACATTTTGGGATAGAATTTGTTCCATTGTCTTGACTGACAAATATTTTGAGGTAAACTACGATTGGTCAACCTCAAATAGATTCGTTAGCTACAACATTTTTATGCAATGTGATTGTCAACATCATCGATTTGAAAATGTTTTGGTTGAAAAAGTTAGTGTCCGAGCGGATTCGAATATCACAATAGCTCAAATGGTTAGAGCAACGGCGTATTGAGCCGAAGGTCGTAGGTTCGAATCTCACTCGTTACACTAACTATTTTTATCTCAACCAAGACCTTTCATAAAAATAATAATTAATTGAAATAAGTAAGTTGGTCAATTAGTCCACTAAACATAAATGGATTCAGAGCAACAATCCGAACAACAAGCAGAAAAAAGACCTCAACCCCAATCCAAACACATCCAAAAAAAAAAGTTTTAACCAAAAATATCAACTATATTACTTAAAAAAAATATCCAATTAATTTTTGTAGGAGATGTGCAATGCAACATTAGGGCCTTGTCGAATTTTAGCAACTTACCAGCCCTGGCCATCAATTTTTAGATGTGATAATCAAACAAGATACCCTACTCGATGTAAGGTATGTCAAGCACAATATTACCATTATTATTTTATTAAATTCATTTTGAAAATTTACAGTTTAAAAAGAGATAAATGTCAATTTTTCAGAATGATGTAAGAGAACTGAAATACAATACGCCGGGGAAATGTATGGAACCGTTAGTACAAACGGATCTCTCTGCATGGTACTACGATGGGGTCGAAGGTTGTGGGATACAGTGCGACGATCCCATGTTCACTAATCACCAGCGGGACCAGATACACAAAATGGTTGCCTGGGCGGCCACGATATGCGCTTTGAACAACCTGTTTGCTGTGGTAAGTGAATTAATTATTTTAAAAATTAAATCCTTTACAGTTCGTAGTCCGATTGACCAATTAACTTTTTTCAATTAATTGATATTTATGTTAATTGGTTGAGATAAAAAAGTCAGTGTAACGAGTGGGATTCGAACCCACGACCTTCGGCTAAATACGCCGCTGCTCTATCTCTTGAGCTATCGTGACTTCAATCCGCTCGGACACCACTTCCAATCAAATCCCGCTCGTGGCACTGACTTTTTTATCTCAACCAATACCTTGCATAAATATTAATTAATTTAAAAATTAAAATTATATATTTTTGTTGATTCATTTTTGGATTTTTCCAGCTGACGTTCATGATAGACTGGAAGTTTGCGAATAAATACCCAGCACTTGCAATATTCTACATCAACTTATGTTTCCTGATTGTCTGTATGGGATGGTTGGCTCAATTTCTACCTGGTGGTAGAGAAGATATCGTATGCAGAAAAGACGGGACTTTACGCATCGCTGAGCCTAGGTTAGTGTATCATTGCTTTACTTGGAAAAAAAAAAAACATCAGTATTGTCTGTATAAATGATTGAGATTGAACAAACACAACACTTAATTTAATCTAAATTCAGATGGGCATCAGTGACCGCAACAGTAAATGCGTTGACACTATTTATACTGTAAGGTAATGGTCCCAGGTTAGAATCTAGGAGTTAGGATGGATTCAAATTGAACCCGACATACTTTCAAATTGGCTTTTTTCAAAATGGCATCCAGAGGTTTCTTCTGGTCACGAGTTTTGCACCAATTTTAAAAAAAAACAAAAAAAAAACAACTTTTTTTTACATTTAATTAGACAATATATAATTAGAAAAAATCACAAATTTTAATGTGTTATTGTAATAAAAGTGAAAGTTCAAATAACCTTGTAGTTGAAATATACCCTCATGAAAAAAAATAAAATAATAATAATGAAATAAATTGAAATTTGGTCGGGGAGCAAATTTCCTTACAAATAAGATTTTAAGTTAAGCACTACGGTATTGTTGGGAAAGAGCCAACACTGGGGGGGGGGACGGAAACACAGATACAGTTCCCGAGTTCAAACCTCAGCTAATCGACGTAGCACTTCTCACTTAAGAGAGAAGAAAAAATGAATACAATTCTATTTAGAACTAAATGGGATTTTTTTCTTTCTTTTCTTTTTTTTTAACTTTTAATTTTTTTAACTTTTAACACTAGTAACAAAACGGAAACATCACCTAACGGCTAAGCTCCGAATTATGAAGCCTGATATAAAAATAGGAAAAAATGACCCTGTAAGAGCACTCTTCCACCGAGATCCACTTCAGGCTGCACTGTGTTCACTGTGATCAGCAAAGTTGTATTTGGGAGTAACCTATCGCACCCATACACTTGTGTTGGGCCTACACTTGACATGGGACAAAAAAAATTTTTTTTCCCCCTCTCTTCCCCCCTATTTCTTCTCATGGAGACCACCGTAATCACCTCTCAATCGTAACACCTCAACTGATCCTTTGTCTTATTTTTTTTCCAGATCTCGAACCCAGTGCCCTCCAGGCAGTGTTGGGCAAAAATTAGTCATTTCTAATGATTAATGATTGATCATTCAGACCGTTAGTCATGAACAGTAATTAAATACAAGGCAAATTTAGTCACAATATAGTTAGTCATGACTAAATTTCGATAAATTATGTTCAAATGGGTGCTCAAAAAGTGAAAAATACACAACTTCATCACTTTAAAAAAAATTTCTAACAGAAATTTATTTCATCAAAGCAAAAATCAATATTTAACAAAAATCAATCTTCCAATTATAAGTAAAACTACATCGTTACGAAAAGCCAAAAAATAATGATAAATAATAATACTGATAAAATAAAATAAAAAATCCTAGAACAAGCTACGCTTTGAAAAGTAAATATGTTTACTTGACCAATCAATGTAAAAAATATTTCTTTGAATTAAAGTTTATTCCACTTGAAAGGAGATATTTCTACATTATTTGGAAAATACATCATCTAGGGGCCTTGATTATAATAAAACAGACATGTAGAATAATTATGTAACTTTGGTTTTCATTTATGATAACACTTTTTGAAGGTGGCCTTGAGCACGACTCTTAACTCAAAATTTGCTCCGGAGTCTGTTGGATTTTAGTAAGTTGGTCATTGTAGCCAGAGTTGGGCAAAATCTAACTAATTCAATCATGATTAAGAATTTTGATTGAAGTTTAATCATGATTGAATTAGTCATGAGTAAATTAATCATTGTATGATTTACTCATACCTCATGATTGAATTAGTTAGATTTTGACCAACTCTGCCTCCGGGTCAGGATCTTCCAGGCCACGAAATGCTTCTAACCATCCCTAACCATCGTGACCTTGATCCACTCAGACATCAACCTCCTATCTCAACCCCACCTTATGAGTTTTCCCTCCTTTTTGCCATTTTTCAAAATTCACGATAGCTCAAGTGGTAGAGCAGCGCCGTATCTAGCCGAAGATCATGGGTTCGAATCCCGCTCGTGCCATTAACTTTTTTTCATCTCAACTAAAAACCTTAATTAATTGTAAACTATTCTGTACTTTATTAAATTTTTTCCAACAAAATTTAGTTGAGAAAGACCTATAAATTGTTGTTTAACATTATATTGTATACATTTTAGCGCTGGTGAAAATTTATCTTGTGTCGTTGTTTATGTCATGGTTTACTACTTTTTGATGGCTGGGATAGTTTGGTTTGTAATACTGACTTACGCATGGAATTTAAGCCTTCAAGCCTTGGGTAAATATAAAAAGCATAACTAATTTTAAAGAGTTATAAGGTAATTTTGTACTTCAGGAAAAATTCAAGAGAGGATGGATAAAAAAGGTGCATATTTCCATATGGTCGCTTGGTCCCTGCCGCTAGTATTGACGATTACAACAATGGCCCTTGGAGAAATTGACGGCGATTCGGTTACAGGGATTTGTTTTGTCGGCACTGTAAATGATGAATACAGAGCTGGTTTTCTGCTTCTACCCGTCGCTGCAGCTTTGACGATAGGAACTTATTTCCTTGCAAAAGGTATTGTTTTCCTCAAATATACCAATTTGTTTTACTTGTAAATATTACATGGCATTTTTTCTTTTAAGCTTAGCAAATAGGATTTAAAGGGTAATCCAATATGCTTTGTTGTTTAATTAACATAATATGAAAAATATTATTTAACATATAAAAAAAATTGTTTTTTATTGCAGGACTTTTTACACTAATAAGACTGAAGGTAGATTCTGAAGAAATAATCTCACAAAGAGCCAGTGCTAAAATCAGAGAGACAATTCTTAGAGTCGGCATCTTCTCCGTTCTAGTCATTACATTTGGTGCTACGACATTTATTTGTCACATATATGAATTTCGTAATGGAAGCCAATGGACAAAAAGCTTCCGAACTTATATTTTGTAAGTATGGACATTGACTAGAAAATAGGATTGGGTCTTGAAAGTTGAACTATTTCAGGTGTAGACTCGGTGTCGGTGAGCTGGGATCTGAAGGTGAATGCAGAATGTCCTCGAGGCCAAGCCTGGCGATGCTACAGCTCCACATACTGTCGTTGTTTGTTACCGGGATTTTAATGTCTTCGTGGGTCTGGACACAAACCACTTTGAACACCTGGACACATTTCATAGCAAAGTATGTCTCACAAAAGTTAAAAACTAACTTGAGAGGTCTTTAACTATTTTAATCTAAGTCAAAATACACATTCTCAATTACTTAAATTAATTTGACATATTATTAACAATAAATCTATTTTTAAAAAGTTATTTTTTTATTTATTTATAAATCCCTATTTAGATATCTTAAATAGAAAATAATTACAAATGCTTTATTCGACAAATGTTCATTGCAGACTGTTTTACTGAAGAAGCGTTGCAATGAGCAAACTAATTTTGAAAAAATTTAAAATGTAGAGAAGATATCTTTGGTAAAGAAGAAAAATAAAAAAGCCTGCGATGAATTGGTAATCACAAATAACTTTGTTTGCAGACTTTTTAACCGTGATATTGAAAACAGAGCTCAAAGGCAGACTAAACCTCTAAAACACAAGCTTATAGCACAAGCTTATTCAAAAAGAAAAGATTTAGAAGAAGGAGGTAGGTTGTCATTAACATTCGGCGTGAGTCGTGAAGATCCCGTGGGTAAGTAGTTGAATTACTTTCCACTCAATTTTAATTGATCATAATTTAATTTCTGTATTATAGGGCTTGGTTTTGAGCTATATAGTGGTGGATCTGGATCAGTCCGCTCCAGTTGGGCTGCCGCACTTCCAAAGTTTGTAACTCGTAGAGGAGCGTTCGTCCCAAATACAAATTCAAATTCCTCCGTAAGGAGAAATTCTATCGATTCACAGATAAGTTATAGTGTTCGGAGGTAATTGATAGCACGTAGAAGATAGTTTGGAAATAAACCTAATTTTTTGTAATTGTAGAGTTTCTGTGGAATCAAGGCGGCATTCTGTTGACTCTGCAGTATCTGTCAAAGTGTCTGAAGTGACGCAGACATTGGTTAAGAAAGTATCAACGCCTTTGCACAAACACAGGATCCATCGAGGTGGAAGGGCAAGTCGTAAATATTCCAAATCTAAAGGGAGAAAGACTTCAGGAAGGCACAACAGAAATTCAGCTTCTGCATCCAGCAATGATAGCAATTTGGCAATACAGGTAAAACAATTGTTTGAAAATTAAAAAAAAATGTAAAATTTATTGTGAAATTTTTATTAGCAACTGATGTTGAATTTGGCCCTCGCCGATTCTGGAGGAGCTGGTCCTTCAAGCCAGCCAAATTTGAGGGCGTTAGGATTCAACGGAATCAGTAAACCAAAACTTGGACGAAGAAAAGCCAACGCTGGCCTCGAGAACATAAACAATTTAGCACTTCTTGCCGACAAACTGTCACCCTGGAATAAGCAGAGCTCGTCTTCATCATCTTCATCATCCAGAACTACTGGCAAGAGTTCACAACATGACATACAATTAGATATTCTGAGAGATATTGACCCGGTAAATTCAAACAATTTATTTATAACATAATTTTAAAAAACTATTTATGTCTATTATAATAATTTTGCTTCTAGGATTTGGAAAATGTCCAAAGCACTTCTAATACGAGAGGAGAATAATTGGACAAAATTAGACAAATTGTATGTACGTTTACATCTATTGCAACATAAAGTTCCTGAATTATGATAGTTAAAATCAGTATGATTAAAAAAAAGTTGTGATTTTACATGTGCATTATTTATGTATTTTCTAATTTAAATAACGTATGAATATTTCAAGCCTAATTTTGTAATTTGACAACATGACTCTTGTCATTTATCTCGTAAGTTGTGTCATTCATATCATTTTGCTAGTTGACAATATTGTTTCTTTATACTTATAAAATAGGAGGAAAATACTAAAATAATATTATAAACATGATTTAATGTAAACTAGAAGTAATGAGTAATTAATTTTCAATGCCAAACAAACTATGTGCTTTTAGATTCTTTGCGGTATGCAAAGAACTTTCATCTTTATAAATGATCAGTTTATTTAAAATTGTATATTACTGTAAGTAGCGACGGCTGAATAATTATTTATATTCGGTTGCTTTTCTCTAACCATAAGCTATGCTGTGACACCCTTCGACCGACTGCTTAATAATTGCAGAATTATGTTTCCCAGATTGGTTCCTGTCTGTGTGATCGCCGCTTTCGATTTACAACCTGTTTGTGTGGTCACTAATTATTTTTTGTTCTTACCTTAACCAGTAAAATTTATTCTAAGATGGTGACCGTCTTACATCATCCTTCAAAAATAAAAATTAAAGATGGGTTGGTATAATATTCTGAAACGATATGTATTTTCATTGAATATTTTGGTACAGTCATATGAAAGAATGTGTATGAAATAGTTCAATCAAAAAGTTCGTGTTTAAGTACTTAATGTAAGTTTTTTTTTTTTTTAAATTTTGTAACACCTTTTTAGACATAAAATTATGATGAAACGATAAAAAGCAATTTATTATGTATCAATCAGTTACAGTTTTAAAAAATTTATGTAATGTGTTTGTAAATTTGTTATATTTTTTATATATGTATTTAATTTATTGTAACTATGAGAGTAACCTGTACATAAATGTTATGAAATAAAAAATAATGTTGATTTTTAATGAGTATATTTCAACTACGAGGTTATATGAACCCTAGTGTTAGTGCCATTTGTAACTAAGTCCAGGGGCTATTGGATTTGAAACCAGGACCTAAACCTTACAGTGATGAGTGCTGTGTCAACGCTTTAACCATTGTGGTCACTGGCCCCCATCTCAATTTAGATTAAAATTAAGTTCACTAATTTCGTGGCCCACTTGATCAATTAATATATTACGAATAATTAAGGTTTTTAGTTGAGATGAAAAAGTCAATGGCACGAGCGGGATACGAACCCACGATCTTCGGCTAGATACACTGCTGCTCTACCACTTGAGCTATCGTGACCTCAATCCACTCGGACACCAACTATCCCGCTCCTACCATTGACTTTTTTATCTCAACTAAAAACTTAATTAATCATATTAAATTAAGTGTTGTGTTTGTTCAATCTCAATCATTTATACAGATAGTACTGATCTATTTTTTAAAAAGAGCAAATAATATACACTAACCTGGGCTCAGCGATGTTTGAAACAAGTTGACATGAACAGAAAATTTTTTTTTTTTTTTTTTTTTCTTCTTCTGTTCGTCACAACACTGATGCTCACACCTGAATTGTACATAAAGAAAAATAGCCTCCTAACTGAAAATCAGTTTGGCTTTAGACAATATTTTTATTTTAACTAATATTATTTCATTCATTAAAATTCCTCCAAAAAGGACAGCAACTGTATCGTTTTTTATAAACTTTCAGGCTACTTTCAATATTATTGATCATAACTGGTTAATGTTAAAGCCCTATAATTAAAGGGTGTAAATTTACCAATGTTTTTAAGAAAAAAAATTGTATTCTGTAGCTTGTTCCACCTTAAGAGATAAAGATATTTCTTAATTTTTGCCAGTGGACACTTGGGTAAGGCAAGCCTGCCTTTTAAGCCTCATACTTTTTTCTTTGTACTTAAACGATTTGCCATTGACCTTGAGGGAGGAGTTAAAGCCTGAAACACAAAGATAAACACTGAAACATGTTTTTCTTCAGTTGAATATAAACATATTGTAAAAACTGGCATCCAACTCTGAACCTAAAAAAAATCCATTGATCTTCTTCTCGGCTGAAGTCAACCGAGAAATGGTTTTCTCAATTAATGGTTGTTAAAACACAATTATTTGGGAGTCATTTTGACACCTAGATTGTCATTCAATCATCACCTCAACGAAAAACTTTCCACGGCTAAGCTGGGTCTGTTCAGTGAATACTCGCCAAGTCCATAGTCGTCCAGACATCCACTTTGGAACTTGCCATGTAAAACACTGTCAAACTATCAACTTATTAAGGAGTTAAACATAATCAGTCATAAAAAAATTAGGTTTATAATAGTGTGTTGCAATCCATGATTTTTTATGTAGCTCAAATTTGGTGCTATAATAAAAAATAAAAAAATCTATATCTACAAACGCCCCTATTTAATAATTAATATTGAATCCTCTGTTGAACCAATTTTAAGTTTTGTTTGACTACTAATTTCTTTTACTGTTTTCCAGCCAAGTTAAGATGTGATAGAACGGTAACTAACCCTCTCTTTTCTTTGCTCTATTGCTAGCCTCTGTATTTAAATAATGCAGTTATTTAAATAATTATTTATTCTTTATTTGGTTGTGAGTGCATATAGGGTACAAAATAACACCAAGATAAAACTAATTTGAGAATAAATGACAAAATAGAAAAATTGAATTTATGTGAAAACGTACATTTTTATATGTACTATTAAAATAAATTATAGTTGTTAATATGTTATGTGGGGTTTGAGTACATAAATCTGTGCAATCGTGCTTTACAATGGAGGACATACTAATTTCTCTGAAAATTTGCTTCTAAAAATTTAAATTTTAAGGCTTAATATGTAAATAAAATTAAATAATCTGCTACATTAGTAATAATAATTTAAAAAAAATATTTACAGTTAATTTTCAGGCTCAGTTGGGGCATTAACGCCTCTTAAGTTGGCAGCCCTGGTGACTTCCTTTCGAGGGACGACTTTGACTTAACCGCGGCAGTCAGCCGGAAGATATGCTTGGCTCGTGGTCGTCTTAAGGATGTTGCGTTGATTTCTTTAAAAACAACATAAAAAAACATCGAGAACACCGTATTTCACTAGTGGATAAAACCGACCGGAGATAGCGGCACAAAGGTAATTTTTTTTGTTTTATTTGAAACTAAAAATAATCCATTAATTAAAATATCAATTAAATATTAAATTAATTAAATAACACTGTCTTTCGCGTTTGTGGTCGGACGAAGTCGCAGGATAGGTCCGCGAAAGAGGCTTTGACCTCGCTGCCGGGTGCGATTTGAGGTAGGTGAAAAGTTTTATTGCCCTCGAGGGTCATCGCGCGGTCGCCAAATCCTGTTGAAAGTGGACCTACATAAAGCACATTTTCTAATCGGGTTAAGCGATTCAGCAGGAAGAAATCCGCCAGGCGAAATTTCAGCTCTCGTTCTTCAGAGCCTTTGCCAAAATTTTCTCGTGGCATTGAACCTGATCTGTGCCTCGGATTGTACGTGATTTCCTCTTGTTTGTAGATTTTCTCTCCCCTTCTCACGATTAATTTGAATGAAACCAAATTTGAAGAGAGCCAAAATAGAACAGAATTTTGAAGTTGTTGAACTCAAACAAACAAAACTCTAGTTTACAGATTAAAAAAAATACAGAAATTACTTACTTATATTAAATTATCCCATAAACTAAGCATGTTTCAACTCAATAAACTTTGTTGTTAAAACATTTTCTCTACATTTTACACATCGTCACTCAATCACAAAATTTTAATGCGGTCAGCAGTTCAATCAAAATAAACATCGATAATTATTTTAATAATATAATAATTTTACAGTTAGTAATATTTCATTTCAATAAAATAGCAAAGACGCCGTTTAATACATTATTTTTTAATTGTTAAGAACTGCTGACAGAAGCATGGTCATCAAGGTCAGTAATTGAATGTGATAAACTACATTGTGTTAAAGAAATAGCGTTCTTGATGCTTGTACGCCTGTAAATTTTCTTTTATGTAAAAAAAATCGAAATTAATATTTTCCATTCAAGTTTTAAAGTTGCTAAGTAAATAAGTAAAGTAAATTCTGTCAGGAGGGCTTAACGTCCAATTACCGAGTTGGGTGTCTTAAAGTAGCTATATTTTGCATATAATTTTTGTTAAAATTTTTAATTATCAAGTTGTGTTGGCTGATTGTGTGTTATTTACTTCGTAATAAGAAGTATTTTATGCCAATAAAACATTGTTCTTGACTTAGAGGGCTTAACGTCCTACTCCTAGTTGGGTGTCTTAAAATAGCGATATTTTGCACTTTTTTAAAATTTTTTAGTTGTCAAGTTGTGTTAACGATCCATGACCAATAAGGACAACGGCTTTACGCAAAAATAATAAGAATTTAAACACAACAGTGTTCCTGATTTCGTTCGTTTGTAAATTTTCTTTAATGTCAAAAAAATCTCCTGTCATGTCCTAAAATCGCTAAGTAAAGAATTTGTGTCACCACGGAAGGCTTAACGTCCAGTCTATTGAGCGACTTAAAATCACTACATTTTGAATATANTTACAATTTGTAATTGTCAAGTTGTGTGACTGAGCTCTGTTCAGAAAGGGGAGTTAGTAATTTAGTAGGAATTAATAGTATCACATTTAAAAAACAATGTTTTTGACGTAAAGTAATTTCTGTCGTATAAAAGGGCTTACCGTTAACTAATTTTAAAATCGCTACATTTTGCATATACTTTAAAAAAAAAAAAATTTAATTGTCAAGTTGTGCTGGCTGAACCCTGGTTAAAAGTCGGTCAGTAATTTAGTTCGTACTAAGAAGTACTTCATGACAAACAAATTTACCTATCGTCTTAAAATCGCTAAATGTCATATAGGAGGGCTTAACGTTAAACTATCCCGTTGGATGTCATAAAATCTCTATATTTTGCATATAATTATTTTTACAACTTTTCATTGTGAAGTTGTGTCGACAGATCTCTGGTCAAAAATGTCGATCAGTAATTTAGCTCATAATACGAAGTATTTCATACCAATAAAACATTGTTCTTGACATGAAGGGCTTAACGACCTACAACCCTGATAGGAGTCTTAAAATCGCTGTATTTTGCATATGCCTTTTTTTACAATTTGTAATTGTCAAGATTTGGTTGACAGATCCATGGCCAATAAGGTCAACTATTTTACGCAATAATAATAAGAATTTAAATACAACAGTGATCCTGATTTCGTTCCTCTGTAAATTTTCTTTAATTAAAAAAAAAAAAAAAAAAAAATCGTATTATGTCCTAAAATCGCAAAGTAAGTAAAGCAATTTATGTCAGGAAGAAGTCCAACTATCAGTTGGATGACTTAAAATCGCTACATTTTGCGTATATTTTTTAAAAATAATTTTTAATTGTCAAGTAGTGTTGACAGATCCATGGCTAATAACGACGCGATAAGAAGTATTTAAACATAGTAGTGCTCCTGATTTTGTTCGTCTGTAAGTTTTCTTTATTGTAAAAGAATCACCTGTTATGTTAAATTCCCTACATTTTGCATATACTTTTTTTTAAATTTTTAATTGTAAGTTGTGTAGACTGATCTCTGGTCAGAAAGGTGGGTTAGTAATTTACTAGGTAATAAGAGAATTTCACATAAAAAACAGTGTTCTTGACGTAATCGCAATATTTAGCATATAATTTTAATAATAATAATAATTTTTAATGTCGTTGTTTTGACAGTTCCATAGCCAATAAGGTCGCGATCATAAAAAGTATTCAAACAAAACAATGTTCTTGTTTTGTTTGTCTGTAAATTTTCTTTAATGTCAAAAAATTATCTTTCGTATCTTAAAATAATTAAGTAAGTAAAGTAATTTCTAGAAGATGAATGATGTAG